CGGGAAAAAGGGATCCTATAAGCTAACCTAGGCAAAAATCCACCTACATACATACGTACCCAATTTCGAGCAAATTGGATCATAAATATGATTTTTTCGGTCCCTGGTCCCTGGCCCACTTCCCGGAAAAAGGATCCCCTATGCTAATCTAAGCAAAAAACTACCTACGTACCAAATTTTAAGCAAATCGGACCTTAAATACGATTTTTGCGAATAGATCGGTTCCTGGTCCACTTTCCGGAAAAAAGAATTCATTATGTTAATCCAGGCAATAAGCAACCAACGTGCCAAATTTCAAACAAATCTGACCATGAATACATAAATACGATTTTTTCGAATAGACCGGTCCCTGGTCTATTAACCGGAAAAAGGGATTCTATATGCTAATCTAGACAAAAAGCTACCTACGTCGCTAGTCCACTTACCGGGGAAAAGGGATCCTATAAGCTAATCTAGGAAAAAAGCTACCTACGTGCAAAACTTTAAGCAAATCGGACCATAAATACTACGGTTGCTGAAAGCTATTTATATACAAAATTTCATAAACATCGGACTAGCCGTTCGCGAGATTACCTGTTACAAAAAAAGAGACTTTTCTTTATATAATTAGTATATGTAGATTAGTACAGATAATGGCTCAACTCTAGGCACACCTTGTGAGGAGATTTTCGCGACCCCGCCAAGAAAGGTATTAACCAGATCGGTCAAGGCGAACTCAAGTGATGATGTTACATTTGTACATACATGCGGCATATGAAATTTCAGCTCCAAAAATTTTATTAGCATTAATTTTTGAAAGTTTAGTGAAAATACTTTTCATTGCTGGTTGTATGTAGTGAATAGGGTTGTTGCGAATATTCGCATTCGCATTCGCAACCGCGGAGCTTCCGCATTAATTTTAACATTCGCATTCGTAATAATCAATGCGGAGGTTTTGCGAATGCGAATATTGTGCGACGTGTACGTATGCCGTGTCTTTTTGAGGTAGCAACATACAAAATTTACTGTTGATAGAGGGAGAGAGAAGCACGCGTAACCGTCCCACGTACACGGTGGTGAGTTTTTATTTACATGGCGCTCTCATAAGTTTGATCGTGTCATTGACGCAAACGTACGTTAACATGTCAGCTGATACGATCAAACTTATGAGAGCGCCATGTAAATGAAAACTCACCACCGTGTACGTGCGACTTTTACGCGTGCTTCTCTCTCCCTCTCTATCAACAGTAACGTTTATATGTTGCTCCGTCAAACAGTCACGACATACGTACACGTCGGTGAGTGTTGGCACCTTAAGATCCTTCAATAGGTATTTCCAGCGGAAATGTTCAACGTCTAGCTATAAAGAGAATCGACTATTTGCGCGTTAAAATTTAATTTAATTAGGTAAGAATTATGTAAGTACCGAATATTTTTTGCCAAAGGTCTGTTGAAAAAACTGGATGCATCGCTAGCGAAAAACGAATTACAAGCTATTCATTTTCAAGAAGTCACCCGGGAACTAAGCAGATCTGAGACCTTCATAGTCCGTGATTCCAATAATTCAAATTATTATAAAAAAAATTGGTGCTTTTTACCAATGTGGCTGGCAGCCACGACTATCAAAACAGAATTTTCTAAGAAATTTTCATCCTAAAGAATAACAATTTATTTGCCATATCGGTCTATTAAGAACCTCGCTATAAGCACAAATTTTTCAAACCAGTCACAGAAGAAAGGATTAAATATGAATTCAAAAACTAAAATCGAAAAACGCTGGTGACGTTAGAAATTCTGAACAACCAAAGGAATGAGAATGAAGATATTTTTGGAAAACAATGGCGTTTAAACCAGGGACCGCAAATAACGATTATCTTTGAAATTGCAACTCAAAAAATCTCACTGAAAGAGAAATGCTACGTGCGTAAGAAGTAAACCAATATATGTATTTCTTATTACTCGGAATATCTTCAGCTGCATTGATTTTTATTTTTTAATTTTTACTTATAAAAATCTAGTTTAATCATTATTTTTTGAGTGTTATTTTTTTGCTCAGAAATTAATAGTTATGTTTTGAGTTTTATTTTTTGCTTGGAAAATAATCGTTACGCTTTAAGTTTTATTTTTCGCTCGGAAAATAATGGTTACGTTTTAAGTTTTATTCTTTGCTCGGAAAATAATGGTTACGTTTTAAGTTTTATTTTTTTTGCTCGGAAAATAATGGTTACGTTTTAAGTTTTATTTTTTGTTTGCTTAACTTAATTTTTGCGTATGCGTATGCGCATGCGTGAATAGACTAGGGGCGGCTGCATTGCACTTCTAACGTCACTGTGCAGTGGGTAACGAAAATACAGAGAGCAATATACAAGGGCAGAACAAAGACAAGAGCAACGATAAAACCACAGACACTCACCACCTATATTGAAGGATCAAACCAATAATATAGATGAAGAATAGGATAAAGTTTAAGATAATTAAAAAGACAAGGATAAAGAAAATGATGGAGATGAATATGAAGACGAAGATGGAAATGAAGATGAAGATGAGGATGAAAATGGAGATGAGGATAAAGGTGATCTTCATCTTCATCGTCTTCATTGTCATCTTCATCTTCTACTCGGAATATCTTCAGCTGCACTGATTTTTATTTTTTAATTTTTACTTATAAAAATCTAGTTTAATCATTATTTTTTGAGTGTTATTTTTTTGCTAAGAAATTAATCGTTATGTTTTGAGTTTTATTTTTTGCTCGGAAAATAATCGTTACGCTTTAAGTCATCTTCATCTTCATCTTCATCTTTATCTTTATCTTCATCTTCATCTTCATCTTCATCTTCATCTTCATCTTCATCTT